CCCCCCCCCCTGCAGACCAGGCTTTTCTCTGGATGCCTGTGGTAGAGCAGCTGGGGCACTGCCGGTTGGTCCCGCAGCGCTGCTCTGGGCGCTACTGGAGCAACCCAGCAGCACCCCAGCTGCTCTGCCCCAGGCGTCCCCAAGTCAGCCGCTGCTGAAACTGACCAGCGCTGATTTTCCGGAATAAGTGGCCCAGTGTAGACACAGCCCATATGTTTGGGCTATTTTTAATGCTGTTGCTACACTTCAAAGACAGAAGCACCCTTATCGACTAGTCGATGCAAATGGTATCAACTATTTAATTAACCAAATAATTGAAATTTTACATCCCTACACACACTTACTTCTGCTGCTGCTTCATAAGATATGTAGATTGAGTTTAAACATTTTTAATCACCAAATTTGCTGTAACGGAAAAAGGTAAAAATCAGAATTTTTCATCAGCTTTTGAAAAGTGGTCCAGGTTTGGCTGAATTTCTTCCAATTTGAGAGGGATTTTGTGTGGGCCATGTTGTAGTAGTCACTACAACTCAATACTGAGGTATTGCCTCTTTAAACTACAGTTTAGCTATATACTCATGGGTTATTTTTTGTGGCTTGAGTTTATACAGCTATTTCAGGCAGTAAAGTAAGAGATTCGGTCTTACACCTGGCTTGTCTTCCTATGCTAATCTTCATTGCGGTGTGCACAATAGCCGTTGTCATAGTCTTTTAAAAAAAAAAAAAAAAAAAGACATGATGTGTAAAGTTTGAACGGGCCTGATATTTTTTTCAGCCTCCCACAACTCTGTAGATTTTTGGGTGCCCAGTACCTTTGAAAATTATGACCTGTGTGTAGTGCTGTATTCTATTTTGTGACCCTGTAGGAACCAACTTCTTGCTAGACACTATATGAATATATAGATGTCACCTGAGACACCTCTTCTTTTAGGCGTCTCATCCAATCTTGGCAAAAAAGAAGGGGAGGGAACAGAAACAGTTGTGGAGGAAACACTTTTCAGACTTTCTTGTACATCTTAGAAAACAGATAAATTCTACCCTGAAAATCCCTATAAATTTAACGTTCGGTATTTTGGCACAGTTACCCTATACCGTTGGGGTTTCCATCTGTTTCTAGGCTATTAAACCCTCTTCTGCATTATGAAAGCAACTAAACCATTGTGTACTTCCGTAGTAATAGGTGTCAATAGATGTTCTTAGGAAAAGTCTGGCAGGAGAGCTTTGCCAAAAATCCAACATTCTTTGCTTAAAAAGGTACTTTGATTTCTATATGCAAGCATATTTAATGACATTATCCAGAAATGTCAATAAAATAACTCTAGCTAAAGTGATGAAACTGTTTTTATTGCATTGCTTTAAAATATTTATGTAAATAAGGCACTAGGATAAATGAGGGAGTTACTTCTATATGAGCACTTCGGCTGCAAAACCAAGAAAGCAATTAATGTAATTCTTCAAACAACTTTGGGTTTTTAGAGAGGTTAATGTGTTCAAATTAACATTCTATCAATAACTCCATGGTTTATGCAATCACTTTCTGTGAATTGCTGTGCTCCTGCTAACTCTTATACTCATAACTGCAGTTGACAGTAGGGATATAATAGTGTGATTGATTAACTGGTAAGCAAAAGCTTATAGGGTTAATTCTATAGATTACATGCATTTCTTCCCAGCCAGTAAATTTATTAGCAGGCTAGCCAGCAGCCTGGCTCAGTCCCAGCTTGTTCCAGGTCCAGGACCTACCCCTGCTGTGGCTCTGTATTTAAAGTGTATTAGGAGCCAGGAGGGTTGGCAGCCTGGCTCAGCTCTCGGACCCTGTGTGTGTTGGAACTCGGACCCTGCCCCGGATAAGGGCTGCTGCCACCCCATGCTGCTGCCTTTGTATCAAGGCAGCAGCATGGGGTGACAGGCAGCCAATCCGTGAGGTGAGCTGGCTTTTAAAACTAGCTTCCCTTGTGGACCAGCTCTCGTCTGGTACCCCATGCTGCTACCTCTGATACAGCAGCATGGAGTGGAGCTAGAGCACACTGGCCACTTGCTTCACCCCTAGGGACTACATAATAGTCAAGTAACAGATAAGAATTCATGAGTTTAATTGACTATTCAATTAACCAATATTTAACATCCCTAGTTGAAAGCTCTTAAAATTCTTTGCTTGTACGACTTCGTTTCCTTTGTTCTTTCCAAAAGCATTCTATTTTGTTTAAGAATTCAGACTGCATTTACAAAAGTCAAGCTTTATGGAACTCAACAATAACTTTCAAATTCTATGTTTTGGGGAGTCTAAATTGATCTCCATCTCTTCTAATTCTAGAACAAACCCAATAAGATCAATTACTTTTGTATATTACAATAAGTGTAATATTGTTCTGA